CAAAAGCAAGCACATGCCTTGGTAAGACCTGATGGGGTTGGGTTTAGTGGAAACCCCCTTGATTTCCAAAAAAGTTAAAGTCTAAAGATCCGTTGCCCAATAGCAATCAAGTTTGAGTCCATCCAAGGATTCCCTAAGAAAAACCCTTTGGGCTCGGCTCTCGGGTGGCCTTGGGTGCCTCCATGTCCAGTGCCAGGCCCAGCACGGTGCTCGCTGGTTTTGAGGGCCCCAACTTTTTGGGGGGGGCTCAAGCCACGCCGTACGAGCCTCGGCTGGCGCCTCGTTGGCCTCCGGAGCCTTGGCCTCGGCATCGGCCGTGGCTTCACTGCTCCGGTCTCATTTGGCTGTGGCTCAAAATTAACCAGGAGGGGTTACGCAGGTTTTGGTCCATGTTTTCACTTACCAGGGTTCCATTTGGCTACCTGTTTTTTGAGCCATACCCATTTCTAGAAAACAAAACGGGTCGAGATCTAATTTGGGATCTGTTTGGCTTGTTTTGTTTTGGGATCCTTCCTTCTGGCCAGAAAAAAGATGTATGGCCCTCCAAACAAAACGGGGTTGGCGGTGTATGGGTTTCCTTTTGGCGTCCCTTTCAAGAACACAAAAAAACAGGGTACCCGGGAAAAAGAAAAAAACAACGACACACCCAGCTGTGCTTCTCCCATGTAGATTCATCCATGCAAACGTCCATGCCGCCATTCACACAGAACAGCTGCAGCATTGCCACCCAAACGGCATCTCAAAAATCCTGACGGGATCAGCTTGGGGAGTTGAGCATTTTTTGCGCGTCTGGCATTAAAAAACAAAAAACAGGCGACTACACCCATTTCTGGTGGGGACTATCCCTCACTAACCTTCATCTACCCAGATTTTGATAGTGGCTCACATGCAGTTGATGGTTCGACACTAGATTTGAACTGCGGCATGTCCGCAGTTCGGCCACAGTGGCAAATTCCCCATGTTGCTGACGGCTAGCTATCCATGCCGACCCCGCCGGCATCTGCCAGACTTTGTCCTGTCTCTCTCACAACTTCCCAACCCTTGGCGCCCGCAACTTAAATGAACAGACCTCACCAAAATCAAAACACATGCCTAGAATAACTGAAGACCAAAAACAACCATCTCACAAAAAAAAAGGGGGGACAACAAAACAAAACACACACCCCACCAGCCGCCACGGGCAGCCATCTCACCAAAAAAAGGGGGGGAAAACAAAAAAGCACCTCTCACCAGCCGCCCGCAAATGGGCAACCCGGGCAAAGATGGACAGGAAGCCCGCCCAGAGCGCTGCGGGCGGCGGCCTGGCGAAAACCGAAGATCCCCGCATGGTGCTCTGTGCCTCGTTTTTTTTTTTGGGCTGCAACTCCGTTCTGCTTGAAAGTGTCTGTTTGCCAGAAACCAGGGGTCAAACTCACCTTTGCACACTCCCAGACCGGATCCCCATTAGCCAGCTCCAGAAAGGCAGAGCTTGAAGGCGCATCACATGCATTTGAGAGTTCAGGAAGGGAGCACTCAGTAGACCGAACAAGCAGACTGAGCTGTAACAAGCAGCAACGGAACCGGGAGCCCCTAATTCCACACGTCAATTTGGCTCCGCCAAGACCATCACGCCTTCGCCCATTCCCAAACTGAGTATCCGCTATGCTGAATTTATGCCATTGTACTCTTGTTACAACCCAAGGGTCCATGCAAGACATTCAATTCACATGCTGCTTCTCAGTCTCACGGGGCCCCCGGCAGCATGTGGCTGGGCACATGGGGTGGCACCACGCGCTGCACCAAGCGGGGCACCAAGCCCGCCTGCACTTGCCCAGCCACAAGACGTGGGGAAATACGGGAAAATCAGCGAGTCCCCCCTGGTTTTTGTGGGACATCCTCGTGAGCCCCTCTGTATGTGGGGAAGGGTTGTTTTCTGCGAGATCAACTTCAGTTCATGCACAGCAACGAGTCTCTTTGCTCGCATTTGCCAATGACAGCCCCTGTATCATGAGATGAAACCAAATGCAGTGCTACAAGACCAGATCCGTGGTGATCGGCAAACTTGCAGGGCGTTTCTGCTTCTTCAGGGCTGCTTACCTGCAAGCCACTTCCAGCCTGCTGCGCAGTGGTGGTTCGAAGCCTCAAAACACCGCTGGCAACAAAATTCAGTCGCGTTTGCAACGCTGGCATTTACTATAAGATTTGCCTAACAGGGAAGCAAATGATAACCGGGTGTCCGACATGGCAACTCCGCAGTGGGAAACGCCATGAATCCTGTGCAATCTTTGGAGGGAACCCCTTTCAGGTAGGTTAAGCGGTTTGAGGGAAAACCGAAAGGATCACCAACTATTTCGCGGTGCCCCGAAGACGAAGAGCATACCCAGTTGTGCAAAGCAAATTGAGTTCCGGTGAAAGCTTGAGAGCCCTGCGCAAAAATCTGGGGCTCGCACGGCAGCTGCATCCGCTGCTTCTCCGACTTGGCAACCTGAGTCTCTCGGAAACGTGCGAAAAAGAGGTCGCCTCTCTTTTTAGGGACCGCCCCCCAACAGAAAACAAAACCAAAACGAGGCTTTTTGCCGGTGGTCTTGCTTTAAAACCACCAAACACGGCAGCCTTAAACAGAGAGACAAGCCCAAGGAGTGTCTCCGGGGTTGCCTACCACGAGCGATTGCAACCTGCCTGAAACTCACAGGGCTCGAGTAGCTGTCTGTGGCTTCCCATTTACCCACAAGAACATACAAGAGCCAGGGCTTCAAACCCCCAACCATCAAGCCCAATCACCAATTCAGGGTGACCAAACTTTCAACAACTGCTCTTAATGCTGGATTGTTGCATAGATCATTGTGGAAGGTGGAGGCCACTGTCATCATGCATGGTGAAAGGTTGCAAGATTGGCGGTTGATGGAGAGCGTCACAGATCCTTGTCATCCCCCTAGCACCGAAGTAACATGGCGTCTGCCCCAAGGTACGGTGTAAAAGCTTAGTCCAAATGCCAGCAGGGTCTGGGATTTTGGCTCTTTCACAGTTGGCAATCACAATGAAACAATATCTGTGCACATGCCCCAGCAGGAACTCACCAGGGAATCTTTTTCAAAGTTGGACCCCCCCGAAATTGGTGGATTTCCTCTTCGTTTTCTTTCAAAAAGGGGTACCCTCAAGAAAAGGCGGCACCCACCAGACCTGTTCTCGGCCCAGAACTTCACCCCACCAAACCTCCGAAGGGCCCAAGAAAACTGGGGCCAAGACGGCCACCCGCCCGCTGGTCAAGCTGCTCAAAGCGCCTCAAGGAGCAGCGCTCGACATGGCACAACTCTCCGAGTAGTTTTCCTACACTAACCAGCTAATCTAAGTTGCCAAACCTTTGGGGGGGGGGGGGAATTGGAGCAATTCGGTGGTTTCTAGGTTAGAATAAGTTGGTACCCGTTTTTTCTGTTTCGGTTTTGCCTATTTTAGTAGGGGCGTTCCCTCCCAACCAAATATATATATATATATATAAACACATTACTGGGGAGACTAGGTTTTCCGTTTCCAACCAGTTCTCGGCAAAACCTTTGGGCCATTGGAGCAATTTGGTCCAACTTGTTTTGTCTCCAAAATGATCTTATATGGGTCTGTCTTTTTGGTGGGCCACTCGTTTTGTGGGGCCATTGGAGCAATATGGGTCTGTCTTTTTTGAGGGTACCCGTTTTTTTGGTGGCTTTAAGAGGGAAATCAACCATAAAACCAGCTTCTTCTTCTTTTTAACAGAAAGCAACAGGCCGCCGCAGGGTTTAAACTAAGTAGGGCATTGTGGGGACTCGTGTGGTTTTGCATTCGCAAGGATATCAAGCTGTTGTACAGCTCTGTGATAAAATTGGTTCTTCAAGTTCTCATTCCAAAGATTTAGCCTCGACAGCGGTGTAGTGGTAAATGTGTTGTCTTTGAGATGAGCTCAAGCTACACTAGGCAAAACTAGCATGTTTCTTGAAACACTTGCCAATGTTGAGTTTATATTGCTATGCTGCAGGTTAGTGTTCAGCGGCTAGTTGTTCTGAGTATTGTGCGGAAGGCGCTGCACATGATTTCGTATAATTCTTCGTCTGCAGTCAATTTAAGTTGGGATCAGCTTATAACCATGCGAGATACACCCAAATTTGGATGCTACAGTTAACAGTTGTGATACTTCACGGGTAGTGTGTGCACAAATGAATGAACATCACCACCCCACCCTGCACAAGCCAAGCAAAAAAGAACCATACCAACCAACACGCAATCAATCAGGGCGAAGTTGCCAGTTGCTCTCTGCATTAATATCGCCCAGCAAGACCATAGTTTCAAGTGCTATCTCACCAAAGGCGACAAGTGCAGGCGAACTTGTACATCCCGTGCCTGCTTTTTGTGGAAGCGTCTCCTTCCATGCGGCGAGAGCGGCCATTCTGCAGCAACTGCCTACTGACAGGACATCGCACGTGTAAACACATCCAGCATTTCAGACAAAGGACACCAATCAACGCTTGTTGGCAATCAAACTGGGACAGAGTTAGCAAGGTCAAACGGTGCAGACTTTGGCCGATTTGCAACCATCCTCAAGCATCACAGGAGTTTGAACACATTCCTTCTGTACCTTCCCAGGTTGCCAACAAGTTTTTTTGGCGATGAAGATGTCAAAACCAATGTGGGCCTCTGCTCAAGCAGCAGAAAGAAGATCTGCAACTACAGGCCCTGCTTTGTGTGCACGTCAGGAAAGAGTGCGGATGGTCTAGCCACTATGTCTGGGATAACTTGGTCGCCGCGGACACAAGCTGTGGGCCTTGGCCGAAGAAGTTGCCCGCCACTTGGGCAAATGGTCTGTGTAAATCCCAATTTGCCCAATTCGGGGACGAGGGAACGTGTCTGCTTGGCGCGGCTGGGGATGGGTTCAAAGGGTTTGGCAGGAGCATCTACAGGACGTGAGCCCAACACACCCTAAGCTATTTTCCTGTTGCATTTCCCGCAACCCAACCCTTTGAGGGCTACCCCACAACGGATTTCGGCCTTCATTTTTAACTGCCCCAGGCAACCTGAAGAGGGTGCCCTCCCCCCAATTGGACCGAACGCTCCGATCGCTCCTCCTCCTGCAGCTTCCCGGCGTCCGAGGACTCCGCAAAGTCCACCTCCCACAGCAACTGGGAGGTCGTCCAGCACAGGATGGAGTGCCTAGCACTGGGTCGCGCGGCCACCTGCTGTTTCAGGGCCACGGGGACATGCCCTACAAATACGCGCAGGACATGCTTCTTCCCTAGGGTGTCCCTTTAGACACACACACACACAGCTTTGCTGTTGCTGCTTTTGGGGCCGCAAAACCCCTAATAAGAGAACACCGCGCACTGAGTTGCACAAAGATAAAGAAGAGAAGGGGTTGCCATTTTGAGACAGAGTCCACTGGACTGAATGCCTACCCAGGAGAGCTGCTCAGTGCTGTCCAAGCGTGCGCTAGCGCCCTAAGCTATAAATTCATCTGCCACGACGCACCTCTTGGGCAGCCGTCGAAGATCATGAAACCCTTTTGACATTGAGCGCTTGCACAAGTTGAGCGCCACCGCTATGATTTGCTTCATGCGTGCGCAGCCTGTCTAGTACCAATTGCATAAAACCAACTAAACACTGATCAAATGAGCCTTGGGAGGTCCGCTTTGACAAAGTTCAGCGCTTTGGCAGTTGCTCCGTGGTTTGCAAACCATCGGTCTTGCTGGCTTCGGCAGCATTGGCTGCACCAGCAAGTCGATGATGTGCTGCCACATACTGGCTGAAGTTGCGCGTATTTGAATCTTGCAAGGTTGCCACATTGCTTTGTGGTTGAGCTGCCAGACATGATGGCCGGTTGAGTTTCCGGTCGGGTATGCGGGGTTGCCTGCAGCATAACAGCATAAGCCAGGAGACACAAAGCTGGAACAAACACGGACTAACCACAGCGCCTTATCTCTCTGCTGACAATAACCCCTGCCCAGGAAACTTGCATATTATGAAAGATGCTCCAAAACCACCAACCAAAAGTGAAAATATGTCTCAAACTCACCACCCATCAAAAAACGACAACCACGCACACTCTAATATTTAGGGCATCGAGCCCTGACGCCCTGGCCGCCCCGGCCGCACCGGCCCCTGAGGCCAGGTCTCATCGCTGTCGTCTCTCCGCATGAAGGCTGCATCCACGAGGCCCTCGGGCAGAGTGGCAGAGACCTGATCGGATTCATCCGCTCGGCTTCGAGTACTGGCGACTGGTTTGGTGTGAACCCGACCTGGTGTCCCTTGTGCTCTTGTGGCTTCCCCTTCAAACCGACCAAAAGGGGGTTCTCCCAAAGAAGACACCATGTCACCGTCAGAAGGACCATACTGCAAGATTCGGAACACCACTTGAGGTCAAGATTCTTTGAAGCTGTGCACTGATTTGGCGAAAGGACCTTCGCGGCTTTGTTGTCTCACTGGTGCCGGCCCTGGAGCTTGCGTGGTGAACACACATCTTGCAGCTTGAGTGACACAAATGGAGGCGTCAGCATTTTGTGCCCTGCAAGAGGTGCACCGAGAAAAGGCCGGCATCGTGTCAACCGCTCAATTGGTATGGGTTTAAATGCCAGCCTGGCAAATACTGACTTGGACCTGGACATACAAGGTCACATACTTCCAAATTTGGAGCCTTGACTTCTGGACGATTTCACAGGGCTCCCTTTTCCTTTCCCCAGACCTTAGGGAAACTCCCTTTAATTGATGTTGGAAGCCACCAATGAAATTAAGACCCACCAAAAGCTTAGGGCGATTCGTTCCCCGGGCCAAGAAATTGCTCGCGCCTGCTCTGTGAAGCTCATGGCCGTCTCCTTTTTCCTCCGCTTCTTGGGTGACTCGAGGTCCGTGCGCTCCCGCTCCAGATGCCAGAGCTTGAACTCCTCCTCACCCGACAACTTGGGCACCCCAAAGTAAAGGGAGCCGGGGCCCCGGGGGGGGGGGGGGGGGCGGTCTGAAACCAAACGGACAGCAAATAAAAAAAAAAAAAAAACCATTGGAACCAACGGCTTCCTTTCGGATGCTAAGATCATCTTAGTTCAAGCGATAACCCGTTGATGAGAACCCAAACAGGTGCCCCGAGTCAAGACTAAAAGCATCATAACAATTCAATCAAGGAAGATGTAAATGCAAACAAAAGGGTGGATAAGTGGGTCAAGGAGGAACTTCACTGCTGTGTCTCAGCGCGCCGTTTTGCGCAAAGGCACCCTCAGAACCGATTTGAGCGATCGCCCCAACGCCTACGCTGCGCTGAAGACGGCTTCTGGGTGAGCTGTTGTGGGTCGGATTGCCTGGTTTAGGTGTCTCAGCTGTTGGGCAAACAGCTTCCGACGAAACTGCGTGACTTGGGATTTTGGCATCCGATTTTGTGCAATCTAGCTGGCAAAGCCTTTTGACAGTCCTCGCTAACCAAAATCCGCTCGTGCCTCTTTTCAGCGTGTTCCATCATTTTTGTAGCGTTAGGAACTGCTTGTCGTGTAAAACGGTGGGAGACTCAGCCAACAT